TTGTTGGCTTGATTTTAGTATGTCACATGTATCTAAGAATTTATGCATTTCTTTTAGATTTTCTAGTGTATTAGAATATTTGATTTCAAAGTATTCCCCAATTATCTTCTAAAGTTTATTGATATTTATTGGGATATTCCATTTCTCATTTCATTTTTTTCTTTTCTTTTTTGATACTCAGAGTCATACTTGTTAGACAAATAGTATTGAGCCATATCCTAACCTTCTATTTCTCATTTCTAATTTTGTTAATTTGGGACTTTTCCTATTTCTTTTGATTGATTAAAGGTTTATTGATCTTGTTTATCCTTTCAAAGAACAAATAATTGTTGAATTGATTCTTTGTATTGTTATTTTAGTGAATTTCATTGATTTCTGCCTTGATCTCATTATTTCTTTGTATCTGCTGATTTGGAGTTTGGCTTGTTCATATTCTAATAAGAATCTAAAGTGTATCACTATGTTACTTATTTGAGATTTTTCTGATTTTTTTAAATGTAAGACATAAAAGCCAAAAACTATTTTTATGTATGTGTCTGTCTTAGTGCTTGAACACAGGACCTGGACACTGTTACTGAGCTAACATTGTAACCTTTAAGCCACAGCTTCATATCCAGCTCTTTTTTGTTTTGTTTTTGGTAGTTCATTGAAATTAAGGGTCTCAAGGACTTTTCTGCCCAGGCAGGCTTCAAACTGTGATCCTCAGATAGCAGCCTCCTGAGCAGCTAGGATTATAGGCATGAGCCACTGGAACCCAGCTAAACTTTTGTTTTAGTATTGCTTGTGCTGGATACCAATTGTTCTGGTATGTTAAGCCTTTTTCCCATTAAATTATAGGAATTTTTAATTTATACCCCCTTCCCCATTTCTTCTATGACTGCTAATCATTTCTCTTGATATTGATTTCTATTTTATTCCATTTTGGTCTGCTGTAATATACAAAGTTACTTCAAGTTTCTTAAGTTTGTTAAGATTTGCTTTATGTCTGTTTTAGAGAAAGTACCATGAGCAGCTGAGAAGAATATGCATTCTGCTGCTGATGGCTGAATTGTTCTGTAGATTTCTCATAAGCCCATTTGATTTAGAATGTAATTTAATTCTGAACTTTCTTTGTTGATTTTTTTGTTTTAATGACCTATCTGTTGTTGAGAGTGTAGTATTAACATTAAACTACTATTGGTATAGATATATCTCAACTTTCATGTCTATTATTGTTTTCTTTCCTTAAAAAATTGAGTGTGCCCGTGTTTGTTGTGTATGTTTATAGTTGTTATATTCTGTTCCTTTTGTCTATGTAATGACCTTTTTCCTGAAATTTTTAATATGAAGTCTGATTTGTTAGATATGAGTATAGCTGCTCCTACTATTACCTTGAGGTTCTATTTGCTTGGAAAAGTTTATTCTTACCTTTCACCTTAAGTATCTGTTTGTCTTTGCCAGCTCATGATAGGGTCTGGTTTAATCCAGTGGCCAGTCTATGTGTTTTGATTGGATAGAAAGACTATTAACTGTCAGAGTTATTATTGAAAGTTATATTGTAATTCATTTTATTATTTTTGTAGTATTTGATTCTTCCCTATTCATTATTTGCTCACTCATCTGGTGACTTATTCCTTCCCATATTTTCATGGTTGTGTTTATCTTCTGTGTGTAGCATCATTTGAGATATCTTCTACAATGCTGTTTAGTGGTCATGAACTTTTGGGTTTTTTTTCTATGGAAAGTGTTAATTTCTCCTGTAGTTATGAAAGATAAGTTTGCTGACTATAACTATATAAAAAGGCAATTGTTTTCTTTCAGGACTTGAATACAACATTCCATGCTCTCCTTCCTTTTATAGGTTCTGTTGAGAAATCTGCTATTCTTTTTTTTGGGGGGGGGTCTGGTCGTGGGGCCTGAACTCTGGGCCTGGGCGCTGTCCCTCAGCTCTTCAGCTCAAGGCTAGCGCTCTACCACTTGAGCCACAGCACCATGGGCTTTTTTCTTTTTTGCTTATGTGGTGCTGAGGAATTGAACCCAGGGCCTCAGGCATGCAAGGCAAGCACTCTACCACTGAGCCACCTTCCAAACCCCGAAATCTGCTATTCTTTTGATGGTTTGCCTTGGTATGTAATTTGGTGCTCCTCCTTTGCAATATTTGATATTCTTTCCTTGTTCTATATTCCCTATGCTTTAACAATAATATGCTTTGGGAAGATTACTATCTCATATGTTTAAAGTCTTAAAAAGCCTCCTAGACCTGCATGATCATCTCTTTTTCAAATTTGGAATATTTTCTGCTACTAACTTACTGAATATGTTTTCAAGCCTTTGGTTTTATGTTCATAGTTCATAGGTTTGGTCTTTTAGAGGTGGTTTACAGGATCTTCTTGATTTTTTTTCCTTATCTGGATGTCTGAATGTTCTAAAACATCTTTCTTTAATCCCCAATAGTATATCCTCAACTTGATCCAGTCTACTAAAGAGGCTTTTAACTGAGGTGCTTTTTTTTTTTTTTTTTGGTAGAGGTTGGTACTAGGGTTTGAACTTAGGACATCACACTTGTCAGGTATGTGGGTTTACCACTTGACCTATGTCCTCAGACTCTTCCCACTGCCTCTTTTGGCTTTTTTTTTCTTTTCTTATTTTTAGGTCCAAGACTGGGACTTGAACTTGTACCTGCCACTTTTGCTCATTAGCTAGCCCTCTACCTACTAAGCCACACTTGCAGCCCCTGGCTTTGATTATTTTTTAAATAAAATCTTATACTTAGTCCTGGTATTAGCTTTAGTTTACAGTCCTCTTGTCTATGCCTTCTTTTAACACTAAGATTGTAATTGTAAGCCTTCATGTACAGCTTGAGATTTTTATTTGCCTTAACTGATCTTTTTATTCCATAAGTTTAATTTTCTTTATTGAATTCCCCATGTCCTGTGTTGTCTTGTGGTCTATTAGTATTCACTCAAGTTGTATGTATTCTTGAATTTTTCTTGCCATTTTTATAATAATCAATTTGTTACTTATTTAAGATTTTGCCTATGAGGCTGGGAAGGTGACTCAGTGGTAAGTGCTTGCCTTGCATTCATGAGGCCCTGGGTTCTATTTCTCAGCACCACATAAGCAGAAAAGGCCAGAAAGTGGTGCTGTGGCTCAAGTGGTAGATTGCTAGCCTTGAGCTGAAGAGCTTAGGGTCAGCACCCAGGCCCAGAGCTCAGGCCCCACAACCGACAAAAAAAAAAAAGAAAAAGAAAAAAGATTTTACCTTCTTCAATATTGTTGTTTGTTGCTAAGGAGTTGTTGAGTTTTAGAGAGGTCATATTGCCTTTTTTCTTTTTTGTTTTTCTTTTTTCCAGTCCTGGGGCTTGAACTCAGGGCCTGGGTACTGTCTCTGAGCTTATTTTGCTCAAGGCTAGCACTCTACTACTGGAGCCACAGTGCCACTTCTGGGTTTTTTTCTGTTTATGCAGTACTGAGGAATCGAACCCAGGGCTTCATGCATGCTAGGTAAGCACTCTACCACTAAGCCACATTCCCAGCCATTGCCTTGTTTTTTCATATTTCTTGTTTCCTATTTCTATATTTGAATTTTCACATCTGGTGCTAAGTGGTTGCTTAGAGATTGTAACCACCTCTAATTCTTCACTTGAAGTATTCATAGTGTTCATGATGGACAGTGTGGTGCACAGTCTGCAGTAACATTTCTTACTATCAGCTGAATATATGCTCAGCAGCCAATCATTGCCCTCATATTTCAGGATACCAGCCCTGAACCTCAGCCCTGTTCAAATTGAGTTAAACTGGCTGGAATCTGTTAGAAGGTTGGTTGCTTGCTGTTGGATGCTTTCACTTCTTTCTATGCTGGTAACCATTGTTGGAAACAGGGTAATTTACTGGCTGCAGACCAAGCAGGTTCACATTTGCTCCACAAACTTCTCAGTTTGTATTTCCAGGGGTGGCAAGCTCCCAAACTCAAGTGTGTCCCCCAAATATGGCAGAGAATATGGGAGGCAAACACTGACTTCTGTTCTGGCAGGGGGAAAAACTGAAGAATTGAGTCACTTTTCCTACTGGTCTCAGTGCTTTCAGACCCTGCCCAGTTTACCTCTCTTCATGGAGAAAAGGCTGTGGAACTAATATTGTTCAAAGAGCATTGGCCTAAGGTTTTGAGTCCTTCCTGGCAACAGACCCTTGCTGGGAAGCTGTTCCCAGAGGCAGCTCTTAGTGTTTTCATACGCTGCCCAGCAATTCACATTCCCTTCTGGAGGAGAAAGCTATGACTATCATATGATTCAAAGAGCTTAGACTCAGGGTTCTCAGTCCTGCCTGGTAACAGCAAACCCTCACCAACATACTGGTCCTAATATTTTCAGAGGCTGACCAGCAATTCACTTTCCCAGTAGGGGGGTAGGTTGCAGAAGTCACATAATTGAGAGGAAAGGCTGGACTTAGGACTTTCCAACACACTTGTAAGCCACATGTAACCAGGAAGCCAGTCCTGAAAGCCAATTACTATACCAACCATGAACTCAGTTCTTTGTTTCTGCCATTATTCTCAGGCAGTAAGATTTGCTCCTAACAAAGGAGGGCAAAGTCTCTACCCATTATTCCCTTCGCTGCCTGAAGTCTCCATTGTTTCTTACAGCAGGATCATACCTGAGCCTTGTTTATTGCTGTTTTTCACAATGTCCCAGAGTAGTTTGGTCTTAGGTCTCCATCCCAAAATGCTATCTTGCTAGAGCAATCTAAAGACTAACAAAATGTCTTTTTTTTGGGGGGAAAAAAGGGGAGAAGGGGCAAAGCTAGCCTTCTACAATGGAGTAGTAAGTCTTACAAAATCCTGAACTGTGTTTAAGTCTTGCAGGTAATGTGGACTTAATGCTACATCTAGAATTAAAGTTGTCTCTAAGGTTATCTGGCTTACCTTGTTGCTGTGTCTTCAGGTCCGCTCACTCCTGGGGAGCTGGGGATAGGACTTGTGATTACTTTGTTTTTCCATTTTTGCTTTGTTTCTGTGTTGTTTTCAAATTTGTTTGCAATTTCCAGTGTTCTTCCTTTCTCTTTAAAATATAGTGTCTTCTTTGTACTTGTTTTTTCTCAGTCATGGAGTCACATTTACAATCTGCCATCTCACCTCATCTCCACTGATCTGATTTCTTCTTCTTGCTGCTTTTCCACTTATATATACTAGTACCTTTAACATAAAGCCTACTGGGAGTGCAGGACCAACAACTCTGTGTTTTGATATGAATAGCAAAATATCTATATACTATCATTTTCCCTTAAAACAGAAGCTCTTAAGTATAATCTTGCAGGTACTTGAAGCCATTCTTGGGGTCTTTGAAGTTGAAATTATTTTATAATAATAAGTACATAGTAGAATTTTTCAGATACCACCTGATTTACTTATGTATACTTGTGTTTTAAAACTCTTAGGTTGGGTGCAGTAACTCACGCCTGTAATCCTAGCTATTCAGTTGAAATCAGAAGGATCATGATTAGAGGCCAGCCTGGGCAAAAGACCCTATCTCAGCCAAAAAAGCTGAGCATGGTGGCACATGCTTGTTATCCCAGCTATATGGGAATCATAAATAGGACCATAATCCAGACTAACCTGGGTCTTATGTGAGATCCTATTTGAAAGATAATAAAAGCAAAAAGGTGGGCCAGGGGCTTGTCTCAGATGGTAGATAGAACAGGCAACTGCTTTGCAAAGCCTTGAATTCAGACATCTTTACCACCAAAATGACTCTATAACTTTCTTAGCTTTTTTGTTGTTGTGTTAGTTGTGGGCCTTGAACTTAGGGCCTGGGCATTGTCCTGAGATCTTTTGCTTAAACGCTTTACCACTTTGAGCCACACTTCCAGTCTCTCTGTGGTTAATTGAAGATAAGAGGCTCATGGGGACTTTTCTCCAGGTTGGCTTTGAACCACAGTTCTTAGATCTCAGCCTTCTGAGTAGCTAGAATTACAGGCAAGAGCCACTGGCACCTGGCAACTTTCTTAGGTTTAATTTATGAATCAGTAAATTACAAATGACAGCTATAATCTATACATAAATAAAAGTCCTCTCAGTTTCTCAATAATTTCTAAGAATATAAATGGATCCTGGAGCTGAAACAGTTTGGGAACTTGTGGAAACAAAATATTTAATATCTTGAAGATCATTTCTTCTTCTTTAGTCATCAAGAATCTGAGAAATTTGGCTTGGAGAAAATGCACAGGATGATTCTTGTCTGGGTAGTTCCCCTCAACTTGGAAGTATCTAGGAACAGATTCAAAGTACAATTAAAGTAATTACCTAAGGTTCAGATTCAAAGTAAGATCATAAGTAATTTACTTAATAGACTAACATTTCCCAGGTCTAGTTGAGGTATGATTATTTATAAAACAATCTAGTGCTTGTATTATTAAGGGAACCTAGGTAGAACTTACTCCTAAGTTTTACTTCCTATTATGTCATTCCAATTTAAGCAGGTAAGACAACTCTGCTTAAAAATCAGTGATCTTATTATTCAAGACACATTGTATTCATAAATTGCTTTGTTGAATGGCACCTCCTTTGTACAACTACTAGAAGATAATTTTTTTTGTCAGTCATGGGGCTTGAACGCTGGGCTTGGACACTGTCCTTGTGCTCTTCAACTCAAGACGAGCATTGTACTACTTGAGCCACAGCACCATTTGCATTTTTTCCTAGTGGTTTATTGGAGATAAGAGTCTCACAGACTTTCCTACCCGGGTTGGCTTTGAACCATGATCCTCAGATCTCAGCCTACTGAATAGCTAGGATTATAGGCATGAGCCACTGGTGCCGGCTTGAAGATAATTTTTTAGTAGTGGTCTTTTTTAAAAAGGAGATCTTGATCTGGGTGCTGTGGCTCACCTAGCTTCTTGGGAGGCTGAGGTGAAAATTAAAGCCTGAGGCCACCTCAACTAATATATGTGAAACCCCTTCTCAGCCCATAGCTGGGCAAATTGGTGTGTATGTGTTTTTCTAGCTACATGGGAGGCTGAAACTAGGAGGATCACAATATCTGTCATCCCAGCTATATTAGAAAGCCTAAAAATAGGCAGATTTCCATCTAAGTACAAGCTCAGGCAAAAAGTAAGACTCCACCACAAAATAACCAGTGCAGAAAGGGAGAGAGTGTGGTTTAAGTGGTACAGTGCCGACTTCGCAAGCATAAGGCACTGCGTTCAAGCCCCAGTACCACAAAAAAATAAAAAAAGATTTATGTTCCTCTTTAGCCACCAGTTTTCAACCAAAGACTAGCAGGTATCTAGAGTACAAAGTTTTGTTTCATTTTTAGGGTTCATGCACATCAGAGAAACAATGAAATGAACATAAACCTGAATAAGCACATTATCACATCATTTTTAAAAAGGGCAAACTCTTATTTGGAATAATAGTAACCTTTTTTCAAAGGAAATACATTTAAAAAGTAGACGTTTGTATACTTCAAGCTGATTTAAATTGAGGCAGAATCTCTTTGGGTGGAGAGGGGGCTGCTGATCCTGCGGCTTGAACTTAAGCTCTTTTGCTCAAGCCAAGCACTCTCACTTGAGATACAGTGCCACTTTCACCTTTTTTGGTAGTTAATTGGAGATAACAGTCTCACAGACTTTCCTGCCTGGGCTGGCTTGGAACCACAATTCTCAAGTCGCAGGCTCTTGAGTAACTAGGATTACAGGTGTAAACTACTGGCACCTGGCCAGAGTATCTTTAATTCGTAAATGACTGCTATAGAAAATTTCCTATTGTATTTATATTTTCCCTTGTTTTGTTTTTATTTTTCATTCTATAGAGTATCTATAGAATCATTTAAGCATGGAGCCCTGAGAGAACAACTAGCTAACTTGGCCACAAGACAAAAGAGCCTTTTGCTTGCAGCAAAAAGGCAGAAAATAATAAGACAGAAAATTCAAAGCTGTAAGAATGTGACATCCTTTTCTTTAAGGACATTGCCATCCAGTTCGGACATCTCTGGTAAAAATGACAACAAAAAGCTCACCAGTCTGGAAAATTCAGTGCATCTCCAATCTGATTCACTTTCTGCTGTCAACCTTGCCTGTAGAAGCATGCAAGAAACATCATTGTCCCTGAAAACTTGGAATGATAGCCAAAATGCTAACACTTGTCTAAACCCAGAGGTAGTAAGAGAAGAAGAATTTCCTGTAACTGAGATGAATTCTAAACGAATTGTCAATAATTCTATGTTAGATGACTTAACAAAATCCAGACATTTGGATGGCACTGATAAGATTGAATTACCATCCCAAACTGTTGCAGAATATTCACAAAAAGAAAATGATCTTACAGAAGCTACAGCCAAAGACCATGGATTGTATACTCCGACCATAAAATATGGCACATTAAGTATTTCAGAGTACACAAGCATACTTTCTCAAAATGATGTCTGTCCCTCAGCTGTTGACAGTAACTATGACACTTCCCAATGTAATCCAGAAAGAAGAAACAGGAAAACAGCTCCCCACCAACTATCTGGAGGGGTATCGGAGTCCCTGGCACAGCAAAGGATTGCTGCCCTAGGCACTGATGCTACACATCAGATGAAAACATATCTTAAAAAGCCATCTTCTGCTGTTCCACATTTAAATAACACCCAAATCTCTCCTACTTCTGGGTCTGGCAATCAGCATACTACGAAAAAGCCTTTAAACTATACCACAGCTCCTAAAAAGAGAAATATGCAGATAAAAGATTTGATATTACTAGGAAGAATTAACCCAGGAAATAACATTCTGGAATTCAAAACACAGGTATCCTATTATTATTTAAAATCATGCAAGTTTTATAATAAGTTAATGTTGCTGTAACACAGTTTAAGCATTTAGGGAAATAGGATCTGGATAGTCTTCCAGAATGGACAGACTTACCATTATATTATTAAGTGGAATCATACTTCTAAAATCACCCAGATACATTTTAATCATAAACATCTGTGGATTTTCAACTAGTCCAGGCTAACCATAAACTCAAACTTCCTGCCTGTACCTCCTCAATGCTGTGATTATAGAAATGAACCACTATACCCATTATGAGAAGTTTTGTTTTATTGATGACTATTAAGACTAGCTGGTTTCTTATATTGACATCCTGGCTTTCTTTATTTACCTTCTACCTTCTGCCTATTTAAGGAAATATATCCTTCCTTAATAATAGAAGGTGCGGAAATGCACAACTATTGATTTTTGTCTGTTTCTTTCATGACTTGTATTTATTTTTGCCTCTTTTTTGTGCCTTTCTTTTTCTTTCTTTGAGCTTTGAACTAAGCACCGTACACTTGCTAGGCAGACACTCTCTGACTTGGGGTAGGCCCTCAGCCCTTTTTGTTAGTTTTCAGGCGTAATCTTGTATTTGTTGCCCATGCTGGTCTGGATCATGATCCCCTCCTACTTGGCGCCTCTCATCTAGCTGGGATGACAAGTATACACCATCACACCCACATTTTTTTATTGAAAAGGAGGTTCACTATCCATTTTTCTTAGTTGGCCTCAAATTTTCCCTATGTCTACCTCCTGAAATAGTTTTTGTATTTTAAGTGCTATGTTTAGAATTATTATACTTTTTTGATTCATTGACCTCTTAGCATTAAAATTTGTCCCTGTTTATATCCAGTAATAGTTTTGTTTTATAGTCTATTATTTATTTTTTGGGGGGTCCAGTCGTGGGGCCTGAACTCTGGGCCTGGGCGCTGTCCCTCAGCTCTTCAGCTCAAGGCTAGCACTCTACTACTTGAGCCACCGTGCCACTCCCGGCTTTTTTTCTTTTTGTTTATGTGGTACTGAGGAATCGAACCCAGGGCCTCACACATGCAAGACAAGCGCTCTACCACTGAGCCACCTTCCCAGCCCAGTCTATTATTTATTATACCAGTATAATTTTCCAATTCTCACATGATTGCTGTTGATATGATATATATTACATCTTTTTACCCCTAATTTACTTACCTGAATATTTCCTGTATATATTATATAGTTGGAGTTTGTCTTCTTTTCATCTATTCTAACAATATCCACCTTTTGATGAGGTTATTGAATTCATTCACATTTAATGTTATTTGAATTTGAGGCCTTTTTTTCCTTGATATTTGGATTTAAACTCAGGGCCTCATGTTTCCTTAGCTTGATTGCTCAGCTGATTCTCTGCTAATTGAGCCATGCCTCCATCCTTACTTTTTGCTGGTTACTTTACAGATAGCATTTTATGGATTTTTCTGCCTGCCTTGGTTTCAAGCCATAATCCTCTGGATCTCAACCTCCTGAGTAGCTAGGATTTCAGGCATGAGCCATGTTATGTTTTATTTGCTCCCTCACACTGAAATTTGCCTTTTAAAATGCTGGATACTTTTTTTTTCATATATACACTGGAAATTTGTTATGGAATATACTTAAATTACTGGGAAACAGTTTGATCCTTTTGGATCTTATTTTTAAGCTTTGTTACACAGAACTGGAACAATGTCAAATGTGGGACTATTTCCATTATTTCTAGTACTGACACATGATTCTTCCATGTACCCTACTGATGCCCCATCAGATTTGAGGGTTTTTTTTCCTAGTCTTGCTATGAAGAAGAAACCCTGTTCCCTGCCCTGTGAAAGTTCCAGATATAATTACTTTTAGTACTTTCATGTGGTTCTTTAGTCTAGCCCTGGACAATTTCCTCACACATATATGCAGACTACTGCTCAGTTGAATAAGAAAAACTTTATATTCCTTATATTCCTTTATATTCCTTATATTCCTTATATTAAGAGGAAAACCTTTTAATAAAGAAAACCTTGCAAAGATCTAAAGTTTTCTCTCTTTCTATTTCTCTGTTCTTCAGTACTTTGTCCTAGTAATTCTCACCTCCTTTGTCTTTAAACACTTATCTCAAGGAATACACAGGCTTTTCGTGGATTTTCTTTCCTTGTACTGTGATATGGAAATTTTCTCAAGGCAGTAAGTTGGAGCAATGTAGAGCCCTTCACAGTAGGTTCTCCCACTTCAAAGAGGCCACTTTGTGGCCTGATATTTGGCATCTTGTAAACTATTGTTTTATATATCTTTCATCAGTTGTTGGTTATGTCAGGTGTAAATCTTGTCTATACTATTTTATCATGGTCAGGAGCAGAAGTTCACACATTTTAGCAATTTTTTTCTTAATTTTTATTTTTTTTTATTTCAGGAGACTATCCACAAAGCTAGTGTTTTATTGAGTGGTAAACTTCAGGTAGAAAATGGTCAGATTTATTTAACTCCAGTGACCTGGCTCAAGGATCTTCTGGGAGATGACATTTACGTGACCTGGTATTATGCTTGGAGTAAGGTAGGTTAGTCTTGAATTTATCTTTAACTCATACTCAAATGCAAATACACATTGTTTTTAGGATAAGACAACTTTTTAAAGAAACATGGCAGATCTCTGAAGTAGTTTTTATCCTCACATGTATCCTTTCTTCTGTATTTACTTGCTTTCTCCCACAACTCTTTTTGCCAAAATTCCTGTGAGTATAGTTATACACCTCACTGCACCTTTCCTTCCTTGTTCTTTATCTAGTCTTAGAATGTTTATTGCTACCAAAATCCCCCTCAACAGAAAAAAATAGCATGGTGGCACATGCCTGAATTCCTACCTTTGGTAGGAAATTTATATAGAAGGATTGCAGTCCAGGCCTATGCCAAAAGCCAGACCTGTCTCAAAATAAAAGGCTAGAAGTGTGGCTCAAGTGATAGAGTGCCTGCCAAAGGCCCCAAGTTCAAGCCCCATTACCAGCTTCCCCCTGCCAAAGAAAAGATATGCTGTTTTTCCTTAAAAAGAAGTACATTTTTAAAAACCTGTGTTTTGTATATCTGAATTACCTCTTGTGGCATATGTAAGCCACTATATTTTACTTATTAATCTCACATTACTCAGAAATAACTGATAGATGCATATTTAAAGTATGAGATAAAGGTGCATACTAGCCTGCTCTTTACATGAGTATAATGTGCATTGGACATTATCAGGACATAACAGATATAAAATCCATTGTTTCTAGTTATTGGTTATTATTCAGTGACTTTTCCTTCCATAGTAAAATGAGGAAGAATTAGCACCCTGAGCAGGACAGGCAAGTCCCATTTTCTTTATCAGATTTTGGTCATCAGATTGAGCCATAAGAGTACCTATACCTTAAAGACTCTCCATACATTCTTCACTGTGAACAATTTAATGAGCATTTATTGATCACTGAGGATATACCAGATGGTATGCCAAGTGCTTTTTAGGCATCATCTTAATAATTTAATAAACTGGAGGTACTTTCAGATGCACAAATTGAGACTTGAAATGTAAGACTTTGTTTAAGGATTGGGACATAAGAATCTTTTATTCTATAATGTTAGGCACAGTATGAAGTGCTGAAGGAATAAAAATAAATAAAGATAGGCCATGCCTCAAGAAGCTATGGTTTGATGAAAACGGGGCACATTAAATCATTTAAATGGGATAAGAGTGACAGGAATAGGAATTAGGAAACTGGATCTCCTGTCATAGAGGAGGATCATTACTGAAGTTTATTGATTGTAGGAAGATATCCCAGAGGAAGGGAAGTTCAGTTTGAGATATGATGTTTTGCCTATAGTGAACAAACCCTCTGGGGGGTATATTATTAGGTTATCTTAGACCTAAGGATGGAAAACCCAAAGATCTTGGTTTCTGGCATGTACTTGCCAGCTTGCCTCTGCTCTTCCCTTTCCTGCACAAGTATTTGTCATCTCTGATAACACATTTTTAATGGATATAGAAACCTAAAAAGTTAGTAGTCTAATCAGATAAACATTTGGTTTCTTGCAAAATACCATTACTTTTATGAGTCAATTTTATTATAATAATTTTTAAGTTGCAAATTAGAGGGTGCTAGACTATAGATTGTTAAACAGATGAGGAGCTGGGAAGGTGGCTCAATGGTAGAGTGCTTGCCTTGCATGCATGAGGCCCTGGGTTCAATTCCTCAATACCACATAAGTAGAAAAAGATGGAAGTGGTGCTGTGGCTCACGTAGAAGAGCTGAGGGACAGTGCCCAGGCCCAGAGTTCAGGCCCCATGACTGACAAACAAAAAAATCTGTTGTAAGATACTGAGAGAATAAAAAATATCATTACAGGCTCACGCCTGTAATCCTAGCTACTCAGGAGGCTGAGATCTGAGGATCGCGGTTCAAAGCCAGCCCGGGCAGGAGAGACCGTGAGACTCCTATCTCCAATAAACCACCAGAAAACTGGAAGTGGCGCTGTAGCTCAAGTGGTAGAGCGCTTGCCTTGAGCTGATAGAGCTGAGGGACAGCGCCCAGGCCCAGAGTTCAAGCCCCACGGCCGACAAAAAAATAAAATAAAAAATATCATTAAAAAAAGTAGATTGTTAAACAGATGAATCTATGAGACTATTAATGATATAAAACAGAGATCAACCCAACCATATTTTTTTAAAGGAGTAGATAATAAATAATGTTTTAGGTTTCATAGGTGCATTGTGCCTGTCATAACTCCACTATAATGTAGCACAAAAACCAGCAATGTTAATGATTGCATATCACTATATCTCAATTTTTTTTGAAAAAAGAAAATGTAGGGGAAATGGGAGGGAGGAAGGAAAGAAGGAAAAAAAGGAAGGAAGGAAGGAAGAAAGAAAGAAAAGAAGGAAGGAAGGAAAAAAAGGAAGAAGGGTGGGCCAGATATGGCCATGGGTTTGTTGTATGACAATTGGTATCAGTCAGTACTTTGCTGACATTGTAATTTTTAAGAGATTGGTCTATTTACCTCCTACAAAATGCATGATTTTCTAAAGTTCTGCTTTTTAACTGTGTGTAGATAACATATCTTGGAAAGGAACTTTTAAGGTATGTTTCTGAGGAAGGGCCTTTACCTTCAGAACAAACTATGCTACTTCAACAACAACCTTGGCATTCAGGTATGTGTAGCCCATTTCTTAGTTGTGGAATGAATATAATCTACCTAGAAAACAAAACAAAACATTGCTTTAGTCTTTTTTTCCATTAAGGTGAAATTCAAAATTAGCTGTTACGATTAACTATTTCTCCACACTCTTGTTTTCCCTACCACAGTTGATTTTAGGAGAAATTGAGAAATAATCCCATCCCTCATGATTCCATTCTCTGAATCTCTTCTGTAATTGCCTTGGGTGATTTTTTAAATGTATGCAAAATAAAAACGTATTTCTTTCTAAAACTTAATTTAGTTAGTTTAACCTGTTTCTAAAAATAGATAATAAAATAAGTATTTTTATTCAGAGAAACTAAGGAAGATACAATCTCTACCAATGAATAGTAGATTCAGAGGCAGTCCTTGAAAGGATTTTAATTTTGAGAACACAATTATTAAAAAAAACAAAATGACTTTATGTTACCACCTCCTAAATAACGCCCCTACTTTTATTCCAGTGTCCTTATTTTGCCTGTCCCTTGGGGGAACAGTTATAGGTATAGAGGAGGTGTCAAACAGAAAATAGTCATAGTGTGATAATCAAGAGCAAGAGCAAATAGGATTTTTAGTAATAACTTTCTACCCCTGGGCATCCTGGGATTATTCCTTTCCTTAAAACAAGGTCCTATAATTCAAATTACCTTTTCAAAATCTTAGTTTCATACCTAACACACCCTACCTCTTTAGAATCCTGCTTTGTCTCAGAAATAAGCTTCATTGTAGAATACATTCTCCCTAATTTTCTAAGCCATCCTCAAAAGTGCTTTTCTTCATTTCTGAGAAACTGTGATCTAGGAGATCAGGTATCAGCAATAATCATGGAAAGCTAAAGGCCTTAAGACACTGGATAGAGTTCTTATTGTTATTCATGACCTTAGATCTCTAATGCTGAGTACAGATCTACTTAATCAAATCTTGGGATAAAGGCCAATAATTTGATGATATATATCAGATTATATGATATATATTATGTATAACAGATGGTATATATTAACATTTTATAAAACAAATAGCAGCTTTACTATCCAGTTTATTCAGATATCATCTTTGATTGATGATATCAAGAAATCCTGAGTCTTGAAGATAATACCTTTAAACGTTCTTAGAGCCAGGCGCCTGTAATCCTAGCGACTCAAGAGGCTGAGATCTGAGGATCATCATTCAAAGCCAGCCCGGGAAGGAAAGTCCATGAAACTCTTATCTCCAATAAACACTCAGAAGACGGGAAGTGGCGCGGTAGCTCAAGTGGTAGAGCACTCGCCTTGAGCTGAAGAGCTGAGGGACAGTGCTCGGGCCCAGAGTTCAAGCCCCATAACCGACAAAAAAATAAAACAAAAAACGTTCTGAGTATGATAATTTAAGACTTTATTCACTGAATAAGACATGACGGAAAAACCTTCTTCTGATTTTTACACACACATACAAAAACCCAATTGAATGGATAAGTCAATGTATTGATGAACTTTAATGTTGAGATGTGATGTTGAACACATCTGAGGGTGCATGTTTGTAATTAAGAGTTTTCAATATAAAAACACAAACTTTTGAAACATAATTTTGTCATTGAGATTCCTGAAACATTTATGATATCTAAAATCTTTTTTAAGTTTTTTATGGTTCCTTTTCCTTGGAATTTCACAATGTTTTTCCAAGACTCTGCTTCATGTCTACTTGGCTGTAGTATTTTCTAACTTAAAAACTTTATTTTTGAATATATAATATATGTACATGATCCAAAATTCAAAAGATACAAGCAGTATGCACTGGAGTCATTTCTACCCTTCTTTCCAGAGGCAATGAAAGCTACCAGGCTGCTATGTAGTTTTCCTGAAATTCTAGACATAAGCAAGTCATTTCTGTATTATTAAGAGAAACCTTACTAATGTTTCAGAATGAACTAAAAAGCAAAAAAAGAACATTCTCAAACTTCTACATAATTTGTGATCATTATAGATAAACACATAGACATACTTTCACAAAGTTATTTTTAAAATATTCTGCTAAGATGGATCACATTCTACTTTTTTACTTGGAAAGCCAATTTATTTTATTTTATTTTTTTATTGTGAAAATACTGTACAGAGGGGTTACAATTACATGAGCAAGATAATGAGTACATTTCTTATCAAGCATTGTTGTCTCCTCCTTTGTTTCCCCTTCCCATC